GGGTCATTGTGCCCACACAACAAGGATATTTAATCCTAACATCAGTCATCATTTCATCCATTATGCTAAGACCTGCCAGCCCCTCTTCAACCATTGAACAGAGGGAAATTTACATCAAAGACAGGTGGCACTCTCTCATTGGGGAGGCACACCAAACTCCCACCTGTCCAGAAAGCCCCTGCTGACATCATGCCGGCTCAGCCAATCATGGCAAAGCTGGGTCCAGCTGGGGGCGATGGGAATTTTGAACCTAAAAAGTGTATAAAAGTACATCCTTTAATGTGTTATGTATCTCAGCTGTCTTTCATCGGGCTACCGCAAGCTGGCATCACTTTTAGCTGAAATTAAATAAATACCTTGGTGGCTTCTGCTTCAACTTGGTGAAATTTACTCTGAAATATTGGCTTCTCTTTCTCACCAGGCTAAACCCACATCAGTTGGATCTCACTATCCACAACCATTCTAAATGGCTTGACAACAACTTCACTACCATATAATGCATTTTCAAAATGTAGATTAACTGCATTGAACTGGCTTATATGTCAGTCTTGGACAACAATGGCTTCCAAAGTGACCCATTGAAGGTAGAATCAGGTGTCATGGCAGCACTCTGCCCAAGAGTGCTGGTGCCTCACCAAAACAAACACAAAGTTTCCATTGCAGTTAGCCATGATAACTGAAGTGGTTGCATTAATTCTAAAATGTATAGCCAACTAAGGGATTGTGTAGAATCATTTCCAGGATGGAACTGATGGCCCTTGTGTTATCTTTCAACTTTATGATTCTATATCAAATGGCTTTTCTCAGAGGTTCCTCATTGTCCTATGATGGGATGGAAGAACAGGACTTGGTCTCACGGAGCCCCAGTCCTAAACTCAAACAACTACATATTGCTGATGGTTTATAGTTGCTTGGAGCACCCCTTACCGTAAAATTTCTCTCCCCACCCCCTGCAAAAAAATCAAGAAGAGGGAGCTTTCAGACCACTTCAATAAATGTAAACACCCTCCCCTCTCAAAAGTCACATAACTTTCTGAACTTCACCCTATCACAGATGTCACTCAATTACTCTGTCTAGGAAAAAGGTTTTTTTCTGTTAATTTGAATCATTTTGCATTTTTTAAAAAGTGGATGGCATATAACATTTGTACCTAAAGAAATGAAGAAATAGTTCACATCAAATACTCCAAATGGCAACTCGTTCTGTTTGGAGGCCTCTGCAAATCTTGCTTTTTTCTGCTTAAAAATCATGAACAGCACAGAAACCAGGACAGACGCCCCCTCCCCGGCAGAATTCTTCTCCTTATCTACTTTGACTTTGATCCATTATTAATTGTACTATGTATGTGCATGCATATGTGTGAGTGTGTTGTAATGGTTAGATATTGTGGTGACAATTATAAACATTTAAAATATAAATGAATCCAACCTGCCCCCTGGCCAGGTACATAGAGTCCAATGTTATTTCCCTATTAGACATTTTTTTCTTTACTTCTCCCTGAAGAATAAGTAATTGTTTTAAATCCTAATTGGAACTGGTCTCTCTTCTCAAATGTAATTGACTCATAGCACTGAGGTTGCATGTATCTTTTTCATGTATAGACTGAACTGATGGAGATGAATGATCACATTTTCCCATTTCCAGTATGAGCCCTTTATTCACAGAACTGCAGTTGCCTAGATCCTAAAGCTTCCATCCCTCAGCTTGAAATTTTGGCTTAACTTGGAGATATGAGTAGTTAGAAAGGCTATGTTTTAATTCAGTTCAAAGGGTATGATGCATATTGTTCTTTCTCAATTAAAGTATGCCCACTGAATCAATTGGATTTCACTAGATGTTGACTCACCATCCAGCCATTGATTCAATAAGTCTACTGAAGTTGAGAATGAACCAACTGGGTACAAGGTAATGTTATTCCTAGGATGGTTCCAGACAGGACATAAACGCAGGTTTAAAAGGGAAGACAAGAAACCCAGGACCTGACTGCAGGTCCCCACACAGACCTGTGGGTACTGGGATTTCTTCCCCCACCATCCTCACAGGCCTCTTCTGTGTCAGAACAAGATGGAGAATGGATGGGGGACATCCAGCAGAAGATTTTTTTAAAATATATATGCTGAACTGTATGTGCGCACATGCAAATACTTTTAATATAAATATAAACAGATTCTCATGTACACATATGAGGTTAAGCACATAACAGAGTTAATTTTTTAAAGAAACTTCCTTCTCATTTTTTAATGCTCTGTTTAATACTATACAGTTTAAAATAAAGTGTTTCAAAGAGTTCTAATTTCTCTCCATCCTTTAAATCAGCTGTGTGTCCATTTGACAGCCCAATCAGTTGATCAGCTGTTTCAGGCTTTTTGAAAGCAGACATGTGCTTTCACAGGGGGGAGGGAAGGAAATCACATGTTTTTGGTGAGTGCAGGGTTACATAGTAATGCAAATATGCACATTTCTTGGCTGGAATCGGGGAAAAAAGGGGAACGTTTTGTCCCGTGTTTTTCAGCCTTTGCAGTGAATGAGCGCACATTTTGTGCTGATGTCATGTAGCCACCCTTGTTTTTAACATGGGAAATCCTGTGTTTTAGGTACTGTGTAGATGGGCCCCAAGAGAAAAGGAAGGGAAACAAAGAAGAATCAGAATCACAGAGTTGGAAAGGATTGCAAGGGCCATCTAGCTGACTCCCCTGAAATGTTGATACAAACAACTAAACACTCCCAAAAGATGGCCATTCAATCTCTGTTTAAATGTCTCCAAAGTAGGAGGCCTACCATGTACCAAATAATACTTTTTGTCATCACAAAGTTGTTCTGAATATTTAAGTACTTTCAGCAACAGGGAACAAGCTTGCTACATCTACATATCTCTTCAGATATTTAAACATTGCTATTGCACCTCGTCTCCGTCTTCTCTTCTCCAAGCTAAACATACCTTGCTACCTATAGTTTTTGACTTCCAGACCTTTGAAATCTTGGACACAATCAATATCCTTCTTGAGTGCTTTGACAGAAAGTAGACACAATTTTCCAGGCAAGGTCTGACCAAAGCCTAATAGAATAGTACAATTACTTTTCTCAATCGTGATACAACACTCCTGTTGGTGCAGTCTAGTTTTCAATTGTTTTTTTTTACCACAACATCACACTATAGACTTATGTTTAACTTGTCATCTACTAAACAGTCCTAGACCCATTTGACATATACTGTTGTCAAGGCAGATACCACATATTCTATTTTTGTGCATTTTATTTTTCCTACCTTATATTTATCCCTGTTGAAATTAATTTCATTTAGGCCAGGACTTGAATCCTATGACTGCCTTTTGCTTTCTTCCTATGGTTGTCTGTGACTTCTCCTTGCCCTGGCCACTCTACCCTGCCAGTCATGATGAATATGAGACTTTTTAATACAGTTGACCTTCCTGTGACTGCAAGAACAAAATCTCCTACCCCTTTCTCTTTCAATTACCTAGAAAAAACAGAAATATCTTTGCACTGTTAATGGGGACTCAAATTCTTTGCTATCAAACCTAGTGTTGTGTATTGATGCAGTGGCTCAGTGTGGTAAAGGTCTTTCTTACTTTCTACTACCTAATGTTTGGACTGAAAACAAAGATTTATATGAAGAAGTTGGAGTGATGTTCCATCTGCATAAATTCCATGCCCTCCCGTCTTTCTTCAAATAGTCCAGAGAGAGGCAGCCAGGTTAATAACTGGAGTGGCATACAGGAAGCACACAACTCCCATGTTATGCCAGCTCCACTAGCTCCCAGTTTGCTACCGAGCACAATTCAAAGTGCTGGTTTTGGCCTATAAAGCCCTATACGGCCCCGGCCCAATTTACCTGTTTGAACACATCTCCCCCTATGAACCAGGAGGCCCTGCTCTTGGTTCCGCCACCATTGCAGGTGCGTTTGGCAGGAATGAGAGACAGGGCCTTCTCAGTGATTGCCTCTCGTCTATGGAACTCCCTTCCTAATGAGATCAGGTCAGCCCCCTCCCTCTTGTCCTTTAGAAGGATGATAAAAAATGTGGCTGTGTGACCGAGCCTTTGGGACTGTGTAATGAGGTAGCGATAGGACCTCTAAGTATGCCAACCAAATTTGATAGGGTTGTTAAGACAGTTTTAACTAGAGGATTTTAATGTCAAGATAAGTGATTTTAATGTTTTTGTATGTTTATGGTCTAGCATGTTTCGGCATTGAATGTTTGCCGTTTATATGTTGTGCTCCGCCTTGAGTCCTCTTCAAGGTGAGAAGGGCGGAATATAAATGCTTTAAATAAATAAGTAATAAATGATACTTCCAGGCAGATGTCCTCACTATTGACTATGCAATCTTCTCAGTCACTCACATGCTAATCCCACGCAAACACTTGCAAATCAGGCACCCTTCACACTTGGTCAATAGACATTGGTTCTTGCTCTCACCCTGGACATTCCACAAGTATATATACTTCAATTGCTTTATCACCATCAGATCCTCTGAAGATTCCAGACACAGTTGCAGGCGAAATGTCAGAAGAAAATGCTTCTAGAATGTGGCCATACAGCCTGTAAACCACACAACACTCCAGTGATTTCGGTCATGAAAGTATCCAACAATACAACGAAGCACTGATATTTTCTAAGATGGATCTCTTTCACTTGGAGAGCACAAGGACATACAAAAGTTTGGATTCTGTCTTCCATACACAAAAGTGAGTGAGATCAGTTGCTTGAGTGTTGGAGCAGCACTACCATCTCTGCATTGATAACCACAACACTCCCTTTGCTTTGCCACCTAGACAAATAGTTAAACTCTTAATAGCAAAGCCACAGGACTGTCATTGTTTGAGCCGCAGGATCAGCAGACTGCTTCATGGATGGCACTCTAATTGCTCGTTAATATTGAAGATGGGGGTAATTACTCTTGCAAAATCCCATGGCACTTGCAAACCTTACTCTTTCCCCCACCTCTCTCTCAGTCTTTGCAATTTCTCTTCCCATTTCTAGCCTGCAAGAATGAGGTGGCTCCTGATCCACAGCTGAGTTTGCAATAAGTCACTAGGGTGTGGATGCATTGGGCAGGAGATGGGGTGCTGTGCACTGAAAGCCTTCCCCTGTCTTTCAGTATAATATCACTTCAAGGTAGGAGTGTGGGAGGTAAGGAATGGAGTGGGCAAATCAGTACACAGCGTGCGTCTTTATTATGAGCACATTAAACCCCGTTGAACTGTGTAAGCGAGCAGAACAAAACCAGGTGAACAAAAAGGCAAAAGCAAATTACTTTCATTTCCCTTTGTGGAAATAGCACTGTCTTATGAACTGCCTCATTTTCCAAAGACACACGCCTGACTTTATTTTTTAAATCACCAAATAACAGGGGCTTCCCGTGAACACTTAAGAAAGGACTTTTTCCACCAGTTTTGGAAATGGAAAATATGCAAATCACAAAATTACCCAGTAAAGGACTGTGCCATTGCTACTGACACTGTTACAATTGAGAGAGGGAAAGAACCTCTGCTGCTTCTATTTCTACTACTGCTAGTAGCAGAAATGTGGTAGTGTACTAGGAGTGCACTACTAGTAGTACTAGTTATTATATACATTTAAATCTAATGATAATGCTTTAAGTAGCAGTAATGATTTTGGAAGAACCAATAGGATTGTGGTGATGGTGGGTGAGCCAATAGGAGGTAATACTAGTAGTAATATTACTGTTTACTACCATTCCTACTAGTGGGGCTAATTGTGTTTAGCACCTGGTTTATGGTGTAACGTGCAGAATGCAGTTTAGGGATAAAGTTGAGGATCATATGGGCCAAGGATGAAGCAAGAGGACTAAATGAAAGCTAACATAAATTGAAACACACCAAACTGAATCCAGCATTAAGCCTTTGATGGTCTTGGTAGCCACCTTGTGTCACAGTCCCAGGCAAGCAAAAAAATGCAAGTTTATATTATACAATGTGAGTTGCCATACAAAGCTGGGTAAGAGGACCATTATCCTTTAAAGAGAGACAAAGAAAGTGTTGGATAATTCTGCCTTTTCTCTATCACCTGCTAGGATTTTCCATCTTCTTTACACAGATACCCTACCATTTCTTGTTCTTTATCTATGGACATTTTATTGTTTTAAACCTTTCCAGCAAGCTGAATCACATTTTGCAATTTCACTTTACAGATTTTCTCTGTATATCTGTTGGCTATTCACATCAATTCTTTTTTGGTGGTTCCCCCCTTTTCCATTTCTTGTACATGTTTCTACTAAACTAAATGTTTAGTTGAATATCCTTTAGACTTCCATCCTGTGTGTGTGTGTTTTTTAAAACACCTCCCATTTTCCGCTCAGATTGTAACTATTTCAAAAATTCCTACAAGTGTATCTATGCATGTCCTCTGGTAAGAACACAAGCAGGTCATAGCTTTTGCAGGTGTGTCAGTTTTATAGATTGTGTGTGTGTGTGTGTGTGTGTCAGGAGCAACTTGAGAAACTGCAAGTCGCTTCTGGTGTGAGAGAATTGGCCGTCTGCAAGGACGTTGCCCAGGGGACTCCCGGATGTTTAGATGTTTTACCATCCTTGTGGGAGGCTTCTCTCATGTCCCCACATGGGGAGCTAGAGCTGACAGAAGGAGCTCATCCACACTCTCCCTGGATTCGAATTGGGATTGTAGATAAATCCAATTGATTCAGTGGTGCTACTCTAGTTGGACTAGCAATAAGTTTAATGTTATACTTGTATAACTGTGTTTACACAATCACATATATTTTACTCCACAATAGTCAACCACATAAGTAAGAAAATATAGTCGTATGTATGACATCAACAGTATTCCAGCTATTCTATTACATCTTGTAATGGAAGAGGAATGGATAAGCTAAGAAGAAAACACTAGATATAACTACTGTTTGCCCAGAGTAAACAAATAATCAATATTTAAATGCCTTCTCTTGAAACATACCTACCTAGGTATAAAGGAAAAATACTTGAGTCAGATCTAGCTGATTTAATTGAAACATGGGATATTCTGTTACTAGCAGAATAAACAAAGCAACTCAATCTTTCCTTGAAATAGCATAAGACAAAGGACATTACTTGTAATTAATAGTTTTGTCAGAAGAAGGGGAGTGATAATCAATTTATTAGAGATCACTTGCATGTGTGAAAGGGGTCCGGGGGCAAAAAGTCACAGGTGTGCTGTAAATTGAGGAGAAAAAATACTTTGGGTGCTGCATATAAAATATCTACATGAGCTACATTTAGAACACTTACTGGAAAACACTAATAATTTTTCCTGGCAGAATGTCCATTTGAATGAATGAAAGAAAATAGGGATGTGACAATCTGTCAGTCTTTTTGTTGGGAAATTTCTCAGTTTCCCACTAATATGTTCATTCCATTCCCAGCAATGTCTCAGGTTGTTCATTTTTTCCCTCCCTGTCTGAAAATGTATGCCACTTTTGTGTGACTCCCTTCCCCCAAATGTATTAACATTGTACACATTTTGTGTCCAAACTAATGAATTTTGTGAACACACTCAGAAATAAAGAGGTGTACATGTTTGATGGGTAAAACACAGGCCACACTTTATTAAAATATTTATGAAAATTTCAATGGCAGAGAGACTTCCAAAGTGAAGGAAATAGTCAAGATAAAATGGTGTCTCAACCTCCCACTTGCTTTAAAGGAAATTGCTATTGGCATGCTGTTTCTTCATAGTCTGTTAGTGGCCATCCACTAAATTGGGAAAACCTTTCCTGTCCACAGTCTTTCTTAAAACTCATTATTTTAAGGGAGATATGTGCAGAACTAATCATTCCCTACTAAGCACTGGAATCTATATTCTCAACTGTCCCAATGTGGCTGGGTACAAATCAATCCTCTGGATTCCCATTTTTTTTAGCTCCTTCTAAAATCTCACAATTTCTCTCCCATTCTCCCATTCCCCCCTTTATTCTCACTTACTTGACGGCACAGGTTCGCAGCTTCATAGTCCTCCTGGTCTCATCAATGAGCCTGGAACCTCAGGTTGCAGCGGTGGCCAGGGGGCCTTTTGTGCAATTAAAACTTGTGCGCCAGCTGTGTCCATACCTTAGAAAGTCAGACTTGGTCACAGTGGTCCATGCCCTTGTTACATCCAGGATAGACTACTGTAACACGCTCTACGTGGGGTTGCCTTTGAAGATGGTTTGGAAGCTTCAAATTGTCCAACAAGAGGCAGCCAGGTTAATAACTGGGGTGGCATACAGTAGTGCGTCTCAACCTTGGGTCCCCAGATGTTTTTGGCCTACAACTCCCAGAAATCCCAGCCAGTTTACCAGCTGTTAGGATTTCTGGGAATTGTAGGCCAAAAACATCTGAGGACCCCAGGTTGAGAACCACTGGCATACAGGGAGCACACAACTCCCATGTTTCGCCAACTCCATTGGCTGTCAGTTTGCTACCGGGCACAATTCAAAGTGCTAGCTTTGGCCTATAAAGCCCTAAATGGCCCTGGCCCAGTTTACCTGTCTGAATAAATCTCCCTTTACGAACCACTGGGGAAACTAAGATCTTTTGGGGAGGTCCTGCTCTTGGTCCTGCCACCATCGTAGGCACAGTTGGTGGGGATGAGAGAGGAGGCCTTCTCAGTTATTGCTCCCCAGTTATGGAACTCCCTTCCTGGCAATATTAGATCAGCCCCCTCCCTCCTTACCTTCAGAAGGGTGGTAAAGAACTGGTTGTGGGACCAAGCCTTTGGGGCAGTGCAATGAGGCAAAATGGTGTCCTCAGATGGTTTTTAAGCAACTTTTAACGTGGATTTAAGTGATTTTAATGTTTATATATATTTATGGTTTTATGTCTCGGCATTGAATGTTTGCCGTATATATGTTGTGCTCCATCCTGAGTCTCTTGTGGGGTGAGAAGGGCAGAATATAAATGTTTTAATAATAATAATAATAATAATAATACTTCAGGTGCTGAAAAAGGAGTTCAAACTGCACGTGCTGTAGTGTTCAATGAAGTCTGCCGGATGCAGTGAAGTCTTGTTCCCCCATAGACTCAGGCAAAAGCAAACTGCTACAGCATTTCCTAGCCTGTATGTCTTCCATCATAATGTTTGTTATATTGACAACACCCTGATATTTCCTGGTCACATGTCTCCCAGATTTCATCTGTGAAATATTTGCGGCTATGCGAAGCCCATACAACCCTAAGTCACTATTCACTCAAGCTGTTCACCTATCTTGTTATCTTTTTCACTTTTCCTCACCTCCCACACCACATGAGACCAATTTAATGGCCTAGCTGATAAGGATCTTTTCCTATTGCTTTGTGATCAATCATTATAGAATAAGTAAAAATGTCCCAGCCAATTTATTCTAATTTTGCTAATTACTTCATTGGGTCAGAAATCCTAACCCAGCCCCTGAAGGCAGCCAGGTGAAGTCTGCACTAGTCCCCAGGGTAGGAGATTTGGCAGTGTGATAACAATGATGCCAAAGCCAGAGAGGGACAGAGTTGTATACCTTTGCAAAGCCTCACACCAACACTTGCTGAATCATAATGCTAATGTTATGATGCTCAATTGCTCAGTGTCTTCCTCCTGTTCCAAGGTGTGTAAAAGTCTTCCATGGCGCTATGAATTGGAAAGAAAGTGGAAGTGCACCCATTCAAAATATATGTCTGACCAAGGTTTGTTTCCACACTTTTCTGAAGTTCATACTTTTAGTCTGGCAAATATAATGATTTTGTGCATATGTGTTCCATATGTAACTCTGAGCAGTTTAATTTTCCATACAGTTAAAATTAACTAAGAGAGAATGGAAACACGTGTGCTGCCTTACTCCACTACATTCATGAGTTAGAGAATGTATAGCTAATGGTTGGATTTCTGTTCTTAGAAACCCCCGCCTCCATTTATTATTATTTATTAGGCGACTCAGAGCAGTTTACAATAACTTAGGTATACACAATACAAAATCATTAAGCATTTAAAAGCAATAGCATCACATCCATGGGGCTGTGGGAGCTGAAATCCAAAATATATTGGAAAAACAAAGGACTTTCCATCATCTCTGAGATAAATAGTTCATCTCTGTGACAAATGGCCCTTATCCCAAACAGTATAGCCAATGGTCGTGCCAGCTGATGGTTGGCAGATTGGGGAAGACTGCTCATTTATTATGAATTCCTTCCAAAATTTGGAATACATCAATAGAATTTTAGCCAACCTTTCAGAATGATTGTGAACAAGTCTTAGCTTTTATCTGTTCTCAAGTTTGGGGGGGAAAGGGGGGATTCCCACCTTGACCTTGCATCCTTTCAAAAGAGAAATCATAACACTTGGGAAGGACTGGGCTGATGTAGGGAGGAAATAAACATGATTAGTACTCCTTTTTGTCTAGTCTTTAATTGATCATATGGAACAGCAATATTTGAGGAATAGAATATTTGTAAATTCTGCTGTAAGTTGGCTTGATATATTACTTGCAGGACTATCGTATCGATATATGATGCAAAATCCCACTATATATGATGCAAAATCCCACAAATCGTTACAGTTATGATCCCAAAGCATCAAAAATAGTTCTTGTTATTCAAAATTAACAGCAGTTATTGCTTTAGGGCTTTTGTGGCTTAATCAGAATGTTCAGCATGCTTTGTGTCATTCGCCAACAACTTTGAAGTCGTAAGACAGCTCTTCATTGTAACTGTAAAAGTTGCTAAAGCAATCCTTGTCAAATAACAAAAAGCAGTGTTTTGAAACTATCTTGGTTGGGAGAGAATTTCATGTTGGTTTGTTTAAATAAAAAGAACTTCCCTAAATTTTGAAAATGCTTCATATATAATGATAAGAATTGGAGAGTTATTGATGAGCCAGGGAAAAGATGATGGTGGCAGTGCTTTCTGTAGACTGGCCCAAATCAGACCCAATCTAGCTGTCTAGACTACCCCAAAGACTCCCTGAAGTTTCAGGCAAACTCCAGAGCACTCACTGACTTTGCCTGAAGTAAAGTGTTTTTACTATGAACAAACTATGTAAGAATTGTACCATCATGGGACTTGGAAAGGCCCCCGTATGTCCAGCATCTTCCAAAATGTATTAGCTCTCTTTTATAACCTTCAGATAGGACACTGTTTTTAAGCAAGTGATTTTTTTCACTGGGATAGCAGGAAGGTACAATCCAGGTGCAAATCAATGAGGTAGGTAGTAGAATAAAGGTAAAGCCTACAATGGGTTTTTTTTTAGTTACCAAATTTCTAGGATTGTAGACTCAAGTTTAAATACCGTTTAAGTGTTCAAAGAAAAGCAACATACACCGTTACCAAGAGAATGTAAACACAGCCAACCTAAGACTTCTAGGTGTGAATGATTTTCAGCAATTTCACTCTCCGCACTGCTAGAAATTAGGTGACTGAAGGAAAATTTCATTGGGGTGACAGAATTCTTATTTGTGAGACAACGACCTCATTCCCCCTCCTGTAGTTATACCCCTGGCATAGACTCATGAGAAGAGAGTACAAGAACATTTTAATCAGCTCCTATGCATTCTGAAAAATAACAAACACATCTACCAGCACCATATCTACATGAAGAGACTTCTAAATGTCAAATTAATATGTCTTGATGACAGAACGACCCATTTCCTTTCTACTTTGATAACAATGCAATCACATTTTCAAGTAATGGAAGACTCTACAAAGCACAAGTGGCAGTTTAGGCATCCTAACTATTATTGATTGAAAATATTGACAGCAAATCAATGGCACTTAGGCCCCTAAAGTGCCATATGTGCCTTTGAAAATCTATTCCGTGATTTAACACCCCTGTACTTCATTTTCTCCATGTGGGAATAAATAAAGCACAAGGTATTAACTTCACCTCCAAGTTTGCCCCCCCCACCCCCCAATGCACTGGAAAAGCTGTTGAACTGGTTCAAATTGTGACTGCTTCACTACCTTAATTCTTCAACTCAGGAAAGTGTTTGAGGGCCCAATGGGAGGTGATGTATTTTTAAAAAAGACGGAGGGATACAGGGATATCTGTTAACTGAATGAATGGAGTCATTGTTTCTAAGATGGAGATAATGTGTAATTGGGTTTCAAACAGTGTACATTATGTTTGAATTGGGCTTTGCCACAACAGTACCAAGCAATAGCCTTCAATAATCTGGGTTCATGGAGGAACATGTCCAGAAGATGGTTTCTTAATACAAAATTCCTTGTGGTGGAGAAAAGCTGGTTTCATGAACTGATGTTTCGAGAAACTGAGTGATAGATTACATGTCTTGAGGGTTTGCCAAACACTTTCAGATGGAGTATAGGGAGGAACCGGAATTGTGTATAGGGAGGACCGGGATTGTGGCGCAGCTGGCTGAGTGTCAGCTGCATTAAGACCACTCTGACCAAAAAGGTCATGAGTTCGAAGCCAGCCCGGGTTGGAGTGGGTTTCCAACCAATTGTGTGTAGCCTGTTGTCGACCTTTGCAACCCGAAAGACAGTTGCATCTATCAAGTAGGAAAATAAGGTACCACCTTAAAGTGTGGAAAGGCTAAATTAACTGATTTATGAGGCCATAAAGAAGACTCCAGCAAAGCATTCCAGCGGGGAAGCATGCGGGGAATGCGGCAATGCTTCATCAGCATCGCAGATGGACGATGAAAGCGACAGCTCCCCTGGCAGCCAGAAAAAGTTAAATAGCCTCTGTCTATGTCTGTATATGTTGGTATGTCAAAAATTGGCATTGAATGTTTGCCATATATGTGTACACTGTAATCCGCCCTGAGTCCCCTGCGGGGTGAGACGGCCGGAATAGAAAAGCTGTAAATAAATAAATATGTAAAAAGCTGAGAAAGATTACTTTTGGGACTGCTCTAGGATTCACCAGTCAGCAGGCCACTGAGGGATTGCAAGAAATCTAAACAATTACACTTTTAATAAGCTCTGCTTTGCCCACAAGATATGTATTATGTGCCTTCAAGTCATTTGCAACTTATGGTTTTCTTGGCAAGAAATATTCAAATGGGATTTACCAGTGCCTTTTGCCCAGCTGAAAGACCAGTGAAATTCTATAGCCTATGGGATGTACTATCCATGGTTTTGGAGTAGCTATGGTCAAGGTTCTTTTCTGTCTCTCCCCTAAACGTTCTTTGCTTGAGAAAGAACCCTATCCCAATTATATTCAAACTTGGCCAGACTCATATTTAAAAATGAGTAACAAATAATCATAGGGATACCAAAATATGGAAATGCTTCACTGGAAAGAGAAAGATTTCTGCTTTCAGCAATAGCCCTTCATTTATTGTTGGAATCCATTTCTTTGCTTTGGATTGAGAATTATCCACTGCACTACTCTGAGTGATGATGAAAAATGCTCCTTTTCATCTCAGTAATACAACCTGCTTGCTCCACCTAACAAAGGGTAGGAGGCTAGAGAAGATTCCTGACAATGTGATAACATTTAAGATTTCCAGCACATTAATACTGACATTTTGTCTTCTAAACAATCACAGGTAATGAAGGTCAGAACGAGCAAACATTCTGTCTATGGCCCTTAGTTGGAAGCTTGCTGCGCTTGAACGTCGCAGCAGGAGACTGCCAGGCTGAGAGTCTTCCTCTGTGTTGCTTCCTTTCTGAGGCCTCGCTGCAGCTGGCTCCAGCATATGGTCGACCATGGAGGTATTTTACGGGGTCCACTGCCTCAATAACTATTTAATGATTAATTACTGCTGGCTAATGTCAGGATGAGACATTGAAGGCTGCCGGCAAAAGTCTTAACTATGGAAAATGGCAGCAGGTGGACTCCCCCTGCCTTCGATGAAGAATAACTTCTCTGCTCAGCATTGCTGCAAGAGGCATTTTGATTTTGCTCACAGATGGAAAGATGGGAGGGGAGAATCTCAATGTGATCAAGTTCTCTCTTTCCAAGAGTGGTAAGGCAGAATCTAGGGCTGCCTTGAAGGATATTTGCTACTCTCAAAGTCCCCAATAGATGCAGCAGTCTGATTTTTTTCTCCTCACTCATCAATAATAGGGAAGAAAAGAAAAAGAAAAACAGTGGACCAAGGAAGATGCAATTTTGCAGAAATATGCAGGTGACAACATAAAAATATTTTTTTAAAAAAGAATTGTCAGCATTTGGTCTTGTAATTGCAGATTCGTAACTGTATTCAGCAAGACTATACAATCTTACTGTAAAACCACATAACCTCCCCCATTTGTCGACCTTAACATCCAGCAGCCAGAATGAGTGAAGGGTATCTATTCAATGGGCAATCAGTGCTCAAGGACGAAAAAGTTTCCAACAACCCTTCCTGTGAGTTATGCTCCAATTGTTTGTTGAAATCTTGTCAAACCACCACACACACACACACACAAACACACCCTTGAAAGATTTGTAGTTTGCCAAGGGCTTTATAACAAATATATTATTTCTTCTTATTATTTTATGAACCTTTTTTTTAAAAAAAATCACTATTTTGAAGCATTGGAGGTCAAGGGCAAACCACTAGCCACAACTTCTTTCCCACAAAGACTTTATTGTTTCAACCCTTTACTAAAATGTATTTTATTCTAGCTTTCTGCCTAACATCCAACAGGCCCATTTGAAGCTGAGAGATTGCTGACTGTGGAAGCAGAGGTTCAGAGTATGTATATTTGTTAAACCTTTTTATTAAGAACCTAACACTTGATTGCCGAGATCATCACCTTTTGTCTCAGGAACCTCACACCTTTGTTGAGTTTGGAACTGAACTGTTGAGCTAATTAAAAGCGCATTATTATTTCACTGGCATTGTCATTACAAAGGACATCCCCTCCTAGGAGACATTCCACCAGCTGATTGGCTCCCAAGTCAATGAATTCCTGGCTGACATTTCCCAGCAAAAGGGAATCCCTGCCTGAAGACAGCAATGTCATCAGTGCCTTCAGCCAATCAGGACATGGATCCAGACTGCCCCCCCCCCCAGCTTATCAGGGAGGGGAATGGGGTTTTTAAATAGCTATCATATTGTATAAGAAATTTTGCATTTCTCTGTACATTTATACTTGTACATTTTAAAGCATTCAATTGTACTTACATCCTGTTCAGCTGAAGCAAATAAACCTCTGTGACTTGTCTTCAACCTGGTGAGTTGTTTCTCTGTCCTGGCCCATTCAGTATAGTTTACACTTGCCGGGCATGGATCCTTTTATCTGCGGTACTAGTTATCCACAACAACAGGATACCTCTTATATTGAAACATGCTTTTAACCCCATTTCTAAATGGTTTGATCTTCAGTGCTTCAAGAATACTTTAGACATTGTTGAACTGTAAAAGTAGACTTTTGGGGTCATTTTGGTCAATCATGACATTAAACATTAATCCCCAGCAGTGAGGATATCATATGTCCAGCTTATAATATTGTAACCATTGAATAGGATGTCAACCAAGACTTTATCTGCAGAAAATAATATTGTTGTGCAGAAATATTTTTTGAATATTTATTTTTTCAATTCAGAAAATTCTGCTTTCTGTGAAAAAAATATCACATGTGAGTTTAGTCCTGATTTACAGAAAGTCTTGAGACACTCCACAGCTTCGGGAGCCTGTCTCATAGTGGGAAGGAAATTGCTACAATTGCTCTTTACTTCCTTCAAGAATTAACATAATGAAGAATTACTTCTGGTTTCCTTCTTGGTTAAATGAAGATTCTGATAGTCCTTCTCACAAAAAAGTAAAATTGCTAAGAAGTGTAAGGCATCATTTTTAAGGAAAAATGTTTTTTAAAGAAAGGATTGAGAGACTGGTAGTGCTTGAAACTTTAAAAATTGCCTGGGACAGAGTTGCATATGACCCATTGCCTGCATTTTCACCACTCTGAAATAAAGGCTGTCTTCAAACAGAAGATGGTCCTCTGTAAACATAACACAAGGTTGCCCTAAACATAATCAACATGGATGTATTTCATCTATTTGGAGATTTGGTTAAGCATCTTAATAGGCTGTTCATTTCTATATAACACAAATTTCTACCAATCAAGTGATGGCTGGCAATGGATGATGAACCATTAAACATAGCTGCAAATGTGATGTAATACTTATTTAGGTGGCACAACTGTATCTGACTTGACACTGCAGGTAGTGGCTCACATGAGTGAATAACTTCTATATAACATTTCCTACACAGAGAAAAATAGATATTGGGGAAGAAATGGAATTTTCTAGTATTTATATGTATATTGTGAGTAGGTATCAGACATCTGGGCTTTCAAAACACTTAACTATTAAAATTGTGATTTAGTTATTAGTGTTGGTTTTAGGTTAAGAAGACCTGAACAATGACTAGGTGACTTCAGATCAATGGTCATCCCACATCCAAATGGAACCCACAGGGTTGTGTCAATAAAGGGTGTGAAAAGCTGCATACACTGCCCCAAAATCCTGTATGAAATGTGATCAATAATAATATGTGTTTGAAGGTGAAATAGCACCCAAACTTAATAAAGTATATTGAGCTTTTCTCAGGGCCAAAATGACTCTCAAATCTCATTTGGTTGATCTGGCATATTTATATCCAGATTTTATGGTGCTTGAACGCTCCAAGTTGTAGTGCTATGATGAGTTAAAACCATGGCTTAGATTGCTTAGCAGCCAAATAACAAATTCCTTTAATGCTATTTTATGACACTTGAAAGGCATTAAACAAAACACGATTGCTGCTTCATAAAACAGTAGAGCTCTTTTCCATATACTGTATGTATGCAAATGTTGTGCACTCAACTCAGGTTCCACAGCAACTTATGCTGAGAGTCCAGATGGAAGAATTATGATTAATTCACACCTTCCTAATTGCCCTGTTCATAAAACATGGATGGGATGTCAACACTGGGATGTGCAGGTGGGTTTACACCCACTGACTCAGCCTAAGGTGTGAAGAGTGTGTACTTACAGACCTCTTAGATGGAGATAGTTTTTCCATACAACATTTATTTCAGTTCATCATATAGTTGAAGTGACAATTTCAAAAATGTATTAATATTGGCCATGCTGAGTTGGGCTGATAACACTTGCAAGTTATATAAAAAGAGGATCAAAATTTCCTCTCTGTGTTCTGTGATCTTCAGGGAAACAAGTAGATGTTGAGTTAGTGGTGATGGTGCAAGGTATATCAAATTATGTCTACCCCTGTTATTTGTTGTCAAATCAGCTTTGGTTTCTGGCAACACTGTGAATGAGAAAGCTCCCAGAGCCCTGATTATCAGTTGCCCTGTTCATGTCTTGCAAATTCAGAGCCATTGTTCACTTGATGGAAACAATCTACCAGTAGTGCAGGGGGTTGTGCATTCATGTAGAATTGCTGTTAGTTTCTGCTTGCTTGAACCAAAGCCCCCCATATCTGTTTTCCAGCACCTCCCAAAAACTAGTGTGCTGCCAAATGGGGTTTTTGTTCAGCATCAGTCCATTGGCAGCAATAGGGTTAAGAAAGCACCTATTATTTGGGTGGGGGGTACTTCCCACAGGCTCCCCTTCTGTATCCTTAATTATTAAGAAGGATTAAAAATGCATCAGAGTTACCACTCTTTCTGGATCCTTTCCCTTTGTAGAGGAGGAGGAGGCCAGGTTTAATATGCTTCTCAATGCTGTTCTACTCTAGAAGAGAGGAAGGATGTGGTTTCACTTCGAGGCTCCTGCAGTGCCAGGTCCATCTTCCCAAGAGAGAGATTGAGGGAAATAAGGAAGGGGGGGGGCTCCTTGGCCCTTGGCTGCATCCTCTCCCCTCCTTCTGCCAACGCAAGCTGGTAGCCTGGCTGTTGCTGCTATTGTGCTAAAGTTTTCCATGTTGGTGGTGAAGGAGGAGGAGGCTGGACCTCAGAGGGTTAAAGATATTCCTCCTTCTGAGATTGTTTGTCCTTATCCTTCATTAAGAACTGGATTTAAAATAGCATCAGAAGAGAGGCAGGAGTGCCTGCTTTCTCTCAACAGCACCAGAAGCCACACAGCTTTCCAAGAGGCATTTCAAGGAGGCCCAGGGAAGGAAGAGCCAATGACCAAGAGCTCAGTCAAGCTAAGAGTGCCACATAGTCATGAAAGCAGAGGGGGAACCAGTTGTCAACTCCTGCTTGCTTTCGTGTCGAGCTGATTTCCATATCAGGAGGGGGCTTCTTGTTTCATGCTCCTGAACGGAACAAAGGAACAAAACAATGGATGAAATGGGAGAAACTTATTCCACACACAACTCTAGAGTGTAGTCTTCCTTTTTTCCAGTTGCCTTTGACTTTACTGAGCATTGTCTTTTCCATTAGGTCATTTAATTTCATGTGATATTCAAAGCAAGATAGCCTCAATTTAATCATCTTGACTTCTAGGGAGGGTTCAGGCTTGATTTGCTCTAGAACCCATTCATTTGTATGTTTTTGTGGGCTATGTTATCTTTGTACAGTAGATTTTCTTACTGTCAACTTTCTTCACTCTTGAGTTTTTATATGTAGGGACATAGAGATGTGAAATATTGGAGATGTGTGATTCTAATCTTAGTATTTACTGATATACCTTTACATTTGATATCAATCTTATTTTCCTTATAAGACATGAACAAGGTATGATGAATTTTACACAATTATTTTTGTGGGTTTCAAGGAAAATTGCAGTTCAGAAGCCTAGAAAATATCAATTTTTGTTATCCCAGGATTATTGTAAAATAAGCTGTCATATATCAGATTATCATCAGTTGTTTCATACTGATATAGTGTCATCAAGAACTGATAGCACACAAAGTGTCAGACTTCATACGAGCCAATAGAGTATTCCCATTTAGGATTGGTTAACACAAATATGTTCATTTCTTGGGTCTATTTTCATGTAGGAATTACACAGATTTATGTACAGATAGAATTTTCAGGACAGAACCTTATAGTCGATGTCATTCTATGTTACATGACATATAATCAAATAATCAGAAAGCAAGTAACAAGCATGCAACCGTGAAACAAACCTTACATCCTTACACAATTGAAATTCATTATTGAAATGCATGTCAAAGTTATGTGATTATTTTATCCTCCTTTGTCAATGTGGTCAAGGAAAGTTAATTGGCTGGAAGGTTATGGAGGTTGGAGTCCA